CCAATTTGAAAAATTCCTGTAGGCTATCTAACATCTCGCTACCACTATAAGGAGTGTAGCAAATCACTACATATTATAAAACAAAGTCTCTCCGCCGTGTCTGTCTGTTTGAACGCGATAAACTCAAAAACTACCGAACGGATTTTCGTACGGTTTTTACTAAAAGACAGAGTGATTCATAACGAAGGTTTTAGTGTACAATTCATTATGGTTTTGTGTATATTGGGTTAAATACGACGATAATTGTTGAAAATGTCGGAAAAAAATCATACCGACTGGTAGCTTTTCTCGCGTGCGCCGCGAAATCCAATAGAGATATATGAAAAATCCATTAAACTGTAGCAACGATGCATTCACTTATCTAGGAACGAACCCGAGCGAAACCAAGGCAAGTCACTTGTTATCTATACTAATATTATAAAGATGAAAGATTTGATTATTTGTTTGTTTGTACCGAATAGGCTTCGAAACTACTGAACCGATTTAGATGAAATTTGGTAAGAAGATAGTTTGAGATCCTGGGAAGGATATATAGATGGGAAGGATATATATATAGTTTTTATCCCGGAAATCATCCCTTAAGGGGGTGAAAATGGGTATGGGGAATCAACCTAGTAACTAAATAAATCACGAAAGCAGAGCCGTGATAAAAAGCTAGTTTATAGATAAAATTATTTTCATCCGCAAGGCGTGTCGTAAATGTACTACATGGGATAAATCAAAACTCGTCGTCTTCTGACATTTGGCATCGACGTAGAAGGGGAGGGATTTAATAAATAATATTGTTTAAAAATAATATTGACGATATTCAAGAGTTGCTTCGACATAACTATATCACATAATAGATATAATTCTTAATGAAATAGGCTTTTTATATATTTAGTACATATTTATTGAAACAGTGTATCATCAGGAATATAAAAGAAACTTGTTCAATAATTATTATCGATTGAAAATTGAAATAGAAAAATATATTATTTCCTTCCAAAGATGGGACATACAGACAGGTAAGAGAGTAAAAAACCTATTTTTTGGTTAGAGAACCCTAAATTTAACAGTTAAAAATTGGATCTTATCGGGAACAAAAAAAATGGTGTAATTTTTTGTCAATAGATGGCATTACATGTTTTGATTTGCTATAGTTGTTTCTGTAAAAAGATTAAAGAAAAATAAAAACTTATAAAAATAAGTCTCAAAATGCTAATTCTGATTTTTTGTTAAATAAAAAAACATTTAGGTCAAGAAGTAGAATATTATGCGTTTTTAAATGAAATATATGTACTTTTCTTTGATTATTCAAACATCTACAATTAATAGATTATACTACGTATTCATAGATGGCGCTATTTACATTTCATGAGTTATTTACCATAGTTAAAATCGGTTAAAGTTATTATACATGGCATATATTAGTGTGTACGTATTAAAAAATAAAACAGTTCAGTATCTATTCAGCCCTTTTTAAAATGTGCTAGGGACATAAGTTTTAATTTTTTTGAGTGCAACTTTAATTCTTTTTCTGAAATAAAAGTAGCCCAAGTTACTCCCTATAACATCAGCTATCTACCAGTGAAAGTTCCGTCAAAATCAGTCCAGCCGTTTCAGAGATTAGCCGGAACAAACAGACAGACAGATAAAAATATTAAAAATTGTTTTTTCTTATAAGTACCGTATACAATTTCATATGCATTTAGTAAAAAGCTATTATTTTGACATTACAAACAGACACTTCAATTGTATTTATCTGTATAGATAATCACTAAAACTACACAAATTTTACTTTATGTATAAGAGGGTTTTCTAGAATAAACGTTTTTGTGTATCTATTTTGTCTTTATTTAGCCATCAATAAAAACACTATCGAATATAAGTCTAAAGCCATCTATTGTTATTCCTGATGAAATCTCTTGCTAATATGTAATTTAAATTCGCATTTAATTTGTTATAGCAACGGCAATATTTAGCGTAAATTTTTGCATTTAGATAATTGACATTAGCACTAGAATATCCCAAAAAATTACAGAAAAAAAACCAGGGTTACCAGTATCAAATAAAACAAACAAAAATAGTTTAAAAAACATTGTAATTAATTAAAAATGTAACATTTTACAAAAATATATTTACATTTAATATTATGTATATCCTACATTACAAAAACTTAAACGAATTAAAACATCCATCAAATTTTATCTGAGAGGGGTCTTTAATTACATTATTTATACAAATATTAAAAAAAAAAATAGCGACAATAAAATAAGGTTGGATCACTGAAGAAGCATTAGAAAAAATAATTAAAACTGATTTAACATGCGTATATATTTTTAATTTTTATTTACTTCTTATGTGATCCAGTCAGAACAAAAATGGCCTATCCCACATTTTTATTAAAAATATTTTTTTATATAATTGTTCATAACCAATATCTTATAAACTTAATATTTACTTTTTAATTTTTATATTTAATTTATGTTATAAATATATAATATACTATATAAATATCGCCATATTTTTATAAAATGCTTTAAGCTTAGGCCACTTTTGCTCTGAAATTATTATTTCTGCAAAATCCAAAACTGAATACGCGAATGATATGTTAAAAAAAATTAAAATATGTAATAATGACGAAATTTAAAAATTTATAATAAAAAAAATTAAAACTTTATAAAAAAAATGTCCATGAAATTTAAATTTAATATATTCATAATATAATGTTTAAAACCCTAATAGGATGCATTTACTTTGACTTCTGTCTGACCATCGTTCTTAACAATAGTTAAACCTGTGGGTGGCGTAGAGTTATTTCCAGAGGGGTGCATCTGCTTCTCCACATTAACTTTTTAATTTTATTCGTAAATGCAATATTTTTCTGTATAATTTCCTTCATGGATTGAACCTACTACTTCTGGGTTCAACTATAGCGAACCCACCACATAAGAACAAAAAAAATCACCAAAATTTGTCTAGCCGTTTAGTAGAGGAGGATTTATGAACAAACACACACCCGAATTATATATATAAACAATCCTATTAACATTTTAAAACAATTACATCCTCAATACCATATAAAAGTAGACTAAATACTGTTGAGATTTTAAACTTTTGTGCGTGCGATGGAGGTATTATATTTTGAACTTTAAAAGCATATACATAAAATATCATTTCAAATACACTATCGAGACATCTATAGTATAAAATATAAATTACTAATGATTTAATAAAAAGAAGAAACAAAAATTCTAAATTACAACAAACCGGTATCGAACCTGTTATTATTATAAAGGCAGTATTGTGCTACATAATATGTATAGTTAAAAATTTTACACATTTTTACTATTTAAATAAACTTTTCTACAGTCATTATCGTTATAGTATAAGATTCGTTTTAAATTTTTTTACATCCTGTATAATTAGGTAAGAATTGAATATAAAATATACACACACACACTATATATATATATATATATATATATATATATATATATATATATATATATATATATATATATATATATATATATAAATATGAAAAGTACTCAAAAGTGGATGTTGAATTTATTTATAAAACAGTAAATACAAGAAAAAATAATAAAAAAAGGATAATTTTTTTAATATTTTAATTTAAGAAAAAATTGAGCTAGTTTAGTTTTATTAAAAAAAAAATCTACATTACTATGAAGTGTTTGAAAAATAAATAGATATGAATGATGAAACATCGTTTTGTCTTTATTATATGTAAGTCCGTCTGTCTGTTTGTTTGTCATGGAGAAACGTCTGAACCAAAATTGTGAAAGAAAACTAAAAAATCTTATATATCATTGGTTTTATAATAAGTAGTGTATATTTGAAGCGATAAGTACTATTTACTATTTGTTTTATTATTTAATAAATAATATTTTATTGTGATTTTTTTTTCTAAAATCGATAGAAAAAAGCAAAAAATTGCTTTATGGACACGTATTAAGCTTTTCTGTACAATTGCTAATAAAGACGGATTTTGAATTAGGGCGTTTGCATACGAAGCTTCGTTTGAGGAAAAAACGCGAAATTTTAAAAACGCTCGATTAAAACACTGTTAAAATATTTTACAAAAAAATATCCTTGACATTATATTTTGATTTTTTAAATAATATTATTAATTTTTTTATTCTATTTTTCTTATTTTTCGATTGGACTCGTAAATTCCATAGTTAAAATCTGCTATTATATAATAATATGTAATATATTCATTCAATAATACATTAAATTAATATGGCATTGCGGATATTTTATCGTATAATACTTAGAAATTAAAAAAAACCAACATTTTGATTATACACAAATGGAAGACTTTAATAATTGCAAAGGATGTTAGGATTTTGGCATTTCATTTCTTATTTGTGGCACATTGCAAGATTCATTTTGAAACAGAAATAATTACAAAAAAAAGTATACCACAGCAAAACAAACAAGTAAAAAAATTTAAAGGATAAAATTAATAATAAGTTAACCATCCACGGTCCTAAAACAAAGGGGAATATACAATAAATACACAATTTGCTGGTATTTACACTACACCTGTAGAAATGACTCAAATATTTATGAAAGTTGATGAATTTAATACTTCACTACATATCATATAATAAATGAGTGTCTGGCCGCGACGAGTTTGTGTTTGTTTAGGCTAATCTCAGAAACTACTGGAAGGATTTTTATACGATTTTCACCAACAGAAAAAGGGATAATTTAGGAATATCATAGATTAATATAAACATAATTCGAAAATAAGTTGCCGGTATGATGATATTTTTGTATTCCATCGAGAGATTTTCCGTACAGTCGTTTACAATATAATCAATACTTGCAAAACGTGTATTTTCAATTACACCTATTTACTCAGGAAGCGTCTAATGAAACGCAATAATTCGCTTTGTATGAAAACGCCCTTACATAATACAATTAGGCCGATGTATAATTGTATACTTATAACTAAATATATCGCACTAGTATCACTTGAAGCATCACGCGTTACTTAGCAACTCGCTGTAAAAAAAACAAAATGTATTAATTGAAATAAAAAAAAACTATTCATAGAAATATATGTAAAAACTTACTCCGTAAATACATAAAAAAAAACATCAAATTCTGTGAAACCATAGAAACATACACCGCAAAGCAAAAAAATATGTATAATAAAAAAAACAATAATTGAGTGGATTTTTTTAAATCTATTTCAGACAGTGTGTATGTAATACACTTTTTTGAACCCATGGTATTTTACCCATATTAAAAATAACACCATCGTCTTACTTTGTAAGTTCCCGAGTCGTCATCGAACCGGTCAATCCTGACCGGGATCGGGATCTGTTCAGCTGTGCTCTTCGTTCAGCTGCGAATAAAAAAAAACACATTTTTAATCTACATTTTGTTGGAAACATTGTCATATGTCAATGACAAATTATTTTTTTATTTATTGAAAAAAAAGAAGTCTTAAGAGACATTAAAGCGAAAAAATGCAAAATGGAATTAATAATATTTTTTTAATTAAAAAATAAACATTGTAAGTGAAAATAAAACAATCAAACATTTTTGTGCTAAACAAATCTTTTCAGTAAAAAAAACAATAATTAAACATCGAAGGCGAATAAAAACATGACGAAACAACATCTAAAGCGAAGTAAGTAAGTACTCTTTAGTTATCATAGAAATAGCGTAAAAATATTTTGTATCGATTATTCTCAAATCGAATAAATATTTAATGTTGATCAAATCGATTTTTATATTTCTCTCTATAATAACTAAACATACTTTAAAATAATATTTTAAAATTAACTAGTATTTACTACGACATTTAAAGCAGTAAAAGATTTGACATATGAGTTTTATTTATTATCTATACATGCTTATTTCATATATATACGAGCTCAAGCAACTATTCTTTAACTTGTTTATTTCTTGCTTGAAAATATTATTCAACAGCCTTTAATGATTTTCATTTAAAAATATGTCATTTTATTCCAATATATTACTTATTGAATTCAAAAACACGTAACATATATAGGAAACCCCTTTAAATAATTTATTTTTTATAATAGAATCTAAATAATATATACATAAAATCTAGTTCTCAAAACAAAATCCAAAATAGAACATTCAGATAAATGGCGTAGGTTAAATAAGAGGATTCTCGAACATTTAGTGGACCCTAAAAACTAAACTTTAAGTACAAAAACATTGAAATACTGATTCAAATCTTAAATTTTATTTGTTACTTTTTTCTACAAAGGAGATTCTATTTCGAATTCATAATTTCTTTTTTAATAGCTTCTTTGACGACGTACATATGTACATATCATGAACATGTTTTCTTTAACAATCATCTTCACAGATGATTTTGAAAGTGCCTACGCATACAACGTTTTATAAACGCTATAAAATAGCGCGTTTCATGAACGTACGTCATCGACGGTAATTTAAAAAAAATAGGTTGCTTGCGTTAGTGTTGATACAAACGCGAAAAAAACGCGCGTTAAAAAATCACCGTGTGCAGAAGCCCTAAATCCTACATATTAGTAAGAAACACACATCAAATCACTGTAACCATTCAAAATAGCTTATTTAGTTAGTAACATCGAAAGCTAATAATATTTTAGGACTTGTCTATATGTTTCTAATTTCTGCGACGACACTCGTCTCGTCTTATTCCAACCGCATCGTAATTGGGACGACTCTGTAGTATAATAAATATTTTTTTACTATAAAATAATACATATTTTCCAACATGATTACCACTTGTCTTATGGTGAAGGAAAACATCGTGAGGAAACCTGCAAGTCTGAGAGAACCTGGTAAGTTTTCAAAAGACATGCTCAGTCCGTTCGCACTTGGCCAGCGTGGTGGGCTATGGCTTGAACCCTCTAGTATTAAAGGGATGCTCACCCCTAGCATTGAGCCGTTAAAAAGGGCTGAATACATACATAATAGTATAAAATATCGGTTTCGAAATCGCTAAAAAGCAATTGTTCCATCGTTAAGGGCGGAATATTTGTATAGAAATCTATATGAGACCACCATTAAAGGTTTAATGTATACATTAATAAAATAATAATGAGTGAATCAACTCACAATCGATGAAAACATCGAGCGCAAGTTAGCCATTGATTTTTGTCGAATTTGAGGAATATGTTTAGTTTATTGGAAAAAAATAGTGTTTTATGTACCTTTTGATGTCGATTGGTTTACCAATTGTTTTGAAATTTATTTATATATTATTATGGGACATAGGTTCGACGATTTTTTATTTCCCAACAATCAATTTGATGCTCGCTATATACAATAAAGACTAGTCATTGTTTATAAAAAAACTTATATATATTTACAATAAAATGAAAATATGCATGTGCTTAAAATTGCCAACTGTGCGTATAAAACCAAAAAAAGTACTAAAAAAGTGACAAAAATCTTAATATTAGTACTTCGTGTGTACATTTTTACCTGCAATACGGTGCAATATCGCTTGCACCAAACCCTGTTCGTCCTCACTATCCTCTAAAAGATGTGCGTGCAAAAATGAACCTTATGAATTTGTGCATTATGGAATACTAATTTCTGTTATGAATTCTATAACAATTAGCGCAGATAGTGTGGGTTTCATTCCTACTTAGACAATTTGTAAACATATGTCCAATTCAATACAACAAGAACACCCATTTCGAACAAAATACATATAAAATAAAATAAAAATTTGAAAGTCTCCCAACAGTCAAAAATGGTTCAGCCGATTTGGATGAAACGTAGCTAATAACCATACCGGTTAAGCCAGCTTTCAATAAAAACAAACCGGCACTGAAATCTGTCCATCCGTTTAGGAGCTACAATGCCACAGACACACAGATACACAAACAGACACGTCACACTTATAACACACACGCCTCTTTTTGCTCTTTTTGCTGACTAGATGAGATTTCTTCCAACAAATCAATGTTAATGAGAAACAGTGATATAAGCATACAGAAAAGAAAACTAAGAGTGAACAGAAATGTAAAACAAATATACTAAAATGATTGTGTTTCTCAAAAATTAAAAACTGGACCGATGTGGTTTATTTTAGATTTTTAAATTGTTAGTAACAGTCCGAATAAAGTTTTCAGGAAAAAAAATTTGGGAAAAATCTACGGAAAAATTAGGAAATTTGGAAAAAAACTGAAATAGCATGACGTCAAAGATCACAACAGTACATTACAATACATGTGACTTAAATAGTCCATTATTGCACGTCGCGAGTAAACGTCTCGCTTAAACTTGGCACTATCACCATCAAACATCTACGCCATATATTATAACTAAAAATAGTCTCATTTTAATTCTGACCAAAAATTTCCAGAAACTTTCTTACGTATATCTCACGGTATGAATCACAGGTTCGATTCCCATACTACGTAAACAAAACGGACTATAGAAATATTTCTTAAGTCTACATATAACATATATCAATACATAAAACTAAGCACTGTTACAATATCTATGCTTGTATTCTAATGAGCGAATAATCAAGAGATACCTCAGATCTATGGGAAGTACCCAAAGACACGGGAGATTTAAGAAAATACTTATGTGCCGTAAAAATTATAAATACGTATAGTAGTCGTCGCCTTAGTGCTTATTTGTTCAAAATAAATTAAAAATTTAAAAATCCCCCGACCATATTGGACCGATTTTCATCAAACATAACTAAGAACACTCCCTACTAATTCACCTTTCAACAAAAAAAAAATCAAAATCGGTTCATCCGTTCGGGAGCTACGATGCCACAGACACACAGACACGTCAAACTTATAACACCCCGTCGTTTTGGCGTCGGGGGTTAAGAAGGTTATAAATAAAATCTCGATGATATTTATAAGAACAACTGTTGAGTTTCTCTCGGGCTCTTCTCAGCAGAACCGCTTTCCGAGCCGGTGGCAGCTTCCTCACGGACTGACTGCACTCACGCTCTTTAAATTATATTAACAATTCAAAAGTACTTGTATAAGTCTGGTCGCATGAAGTTTAATTTCATTTCAAACCACCAATACTTGTTGTACTTTTTTTGAAGTCGGTAAAAACAAAGCTTTATTTGTATGATTTTTATAGATATTTAGATAAAATCATCGATCAAAAAAGTATTAGATACACAATCCCATGCAAAAGTTCTCTTAAAACTGTCACCGATTGTGTTTAGGTAATTGTTCTAGTTGAAATAAATATACAAAGTAAATTGAACCTTAAAGGCAGTTGTTGTTCAAAAAAAAAATTAAAAGCGCGCTCAAATGTTCAAATGAGCGCTCATTCTGTGAGGACATTTTTTGTCGCTGATTGTGTATGAAGTACTTTTTTAATCGACGGTTAAAATACATATTTTCGGCTTTTAAAATGTGTCTTTAATACCGATAGAATTGAAATTTAAAAGTCAATAATTCTGTATTACAAAAACTCTTTTAGTGAATTGGTTGTTTGGACAAATAAGCACTGAAACGACGTAATATTAAGCAAATGTATTTTTTAATATTCATATAAGACAGTAAGTACATTTTGTAGAAATCGACCACCCATCCAAAATTATACCTCTCTCAATGTTGCTTGACTTTGACGATCTACTTATTGACTAGTTTATATATTATTATATACCTCAGACTAAAGAATCATGTACGGGGTCCGCCAAAATAAATGTAAAAGTCAAAAATACTAGCGTGTTTTGCTGTTTTTGCTACTATTATCGATTTTACCATACATATAGTTTACTTTTTTTAAAGAATAAGGGAAATTTTATATATGTACATATATATTAATAAAATAATATTTAATTTTCGTGAATAAATTAATAATAAAATTAATACTACATTTTTTTGTATTTTTTAAGCGTTAGTTCTCTTCCCATTGAAAGAGAGAGCGTCATATATAACATATTTTTCTTTATTATAATAAAATCCGTTAGGTATTTTATTTATTTATTAATCACTCAGTACACAAATTGTTATTTGTATACTATTTTAAAATACTATAGGTATATTATTTTAAAACTTTGTTTGACTTCATATTTAGTTCTATGACATTTTGCCTATATTATATGCCTTAGTCTGAGTTATAATAATAAATAAGCAAATCTTGTATATATTTCGTTTATCTCGGAAACGGCTCTAACGATTTAGATTAAATTTCGTATTTAGATAAAGTTTTGCTTCTTTTTAAACGTATTTTTACATAATTTCCGTAGAAACTAGATTTTACAAAACGGCCAACTAGTTAGGTCACCTAGGTACTATATTTAAAGTTTAAAGGTATTATATGAATAATTCTTACCTCCAGCCACTCTAGGGTTGGCTTTCTTTCTCGGGCGCTCTCGACTGAATGCAGAACCGCTTTGTAATGCCTCCATTAAACTGAAAAACAAATATATACATATTTATTATTATCACTATTAGTACTCGCGGATTCGTCCGCGTTCAAACTTACAATATAAACATTAGTTTTACAATAATGTATAGAAGTTTGTCCGACTTGTTGACATTTATGATTACAGCTCCGCTCCCTTGGGTAGTGGCATGATGATTTATATCCTATAGCCTTCCTCAATAAACGGGCTGTCTAATGCAAAAAGAATTTTTCCAATCGGATTAGTAGTTCCTGAGATTAGAGCGTACAAACAAACAAGTAAACAATCAAACTGTCTCTTTATAATACTAGTATAATAGATGTAAATAAGTTTGTTTTATAAAAAGAAAACAATTTATCAGCCCAATTCGAGCACACAAATAAATGTTCACAAAATTATGTTGTTACACCAGTTTTTGTTTTTGGAGCTTATTAATAACAAAATAATTGTCGACTACAACTCGAGCACACATTACAAAAATATCAATAGTCGAGCCAAACTCGAGCACACACCTATCCATGACACCATCCTGTACCTGTTCTATAGCCACAAACTGCTCTGTTTAGCCTAAGCTCGTTTTAGAAGTTAATAAATACAAAACCATAAAAGTAGAGCCAAACTCGAGCACCCATAATCTATACTAATATTAATAAAGAGGTAAAGTTTGTGAGTTTGTTACGTCGTAAGGGGTAATCTCTGGACCTACTGAACCGATTTAGATGAAATTTGGTAAGAAGATAGTTTGAGACCCTGGGAAGGACATAGGATACTTTTTATCTCGGAAATCATCCCTTAAGGGTGTAAAAATGGGGATGAAATTTTGTATTGGGAATCAACCTAGGGACGAACCCGAGCGAAGCAAAGGTGAGTCGCCAGTGAATAATAACACCAAGAGTCTTCGCCAATCTCTCGGCCGAGCACCCACCTGTCCATGACGCCGTCCTGCGCCTGCTCCATGTCCACGAACTGCTTGTACCGGTGCTGGCGGTCGCGGCGCTCGCGCTCGGCCTGCGCGCGGGCGTCGCGCGCGCGCCGCGCCCGCTCCTCCGTCTCTCGCACCAACACGTTCTCTTGGTGGGCGGTCTGTGGGGGGGATTGGTTATTTAAAAAAAAAACATTAATATGCAATTCATTATTAGTATTAATAATTATTAATAACAGATAATATAAATAGTTATTAGCCAGCGTAAGCCATACAAATTTCAATTTTTTTTTCGTTAATTTTTCTGATGTTTTAATACTTATTATCCTATTCCGGACTAAGAGAAATCAAATATCATAAAAATTGGTCCAGCCGTTCTTGAGTTATAAATGGTGTAACTAACACAACTTTGTCATATATACCTTATTTTATATTTTTTCTATTTATTAATTTACCTCAAGGACATACGAAAAAAAATAGCTAAATTGGTCAAGCCGTTCTCGAGTTTTGCGTTTAGCAACATTCATTTTTATTGATATAAATTAATAAATTATAATTAAAAAAAGTAACAAACAAAAAAGGTTTTGTTGAACAAAGTTCCTTATCGTGCGTTACTCGGCACATCTAGCGTGTGAGAGCGAGACGGAAACAATTGGAATATTGCGACCGTCACGACACTTTATTATTTACTGAGAACACACCGTGTGACGTCACCAAAAGTACCAGGCGAGCATAAGTGCTGAAGAGGAATCATGCACTCTTATGACGTACCCTAAATAATATATAATGAGCACTCCTCGAGGTTCGTGGTCAGCTAGTACTCGTGGCAAGTACCAGGCGAACATAACTGTTGAGGAGTGTTATGTTGTAAGAGATTTGTGTGTACTCTATGTAGGGCTTTTCTTCGATGAGCTTCAACATGCACTTGGCCAGCGTGGTGGACTATGGTCTGATTCCCCCGCATTGAAGGAGGCCCACGCCCAGCAGTGGGACTAAATACTATAAATTTAACAAAACAAAACCATAACGTGACGACACGTTTGTCTCAGTTGGTAGTGACCCTACTTGACGTGCCAGCGGTCGCGGATTCGAGTCCCGCTTGGGACATTCATTTGTGTGATGAGCAAGAATGTTTGTACTCCAGTCATGAGTGTTTATATTTATAATATATATGTATTAAAAGTTATATATGTGTAGTATATCAACTATCTGGTATCCATAACACAAGCCTCGTAGCTTACCATGGAACTAGATGGTGCTGTGTGTAAAAGAAAAACTCACCGCAAAAGAATCCTTAAAAGTCTTTATATCTGAGAAGAATTCTTCCAACGTGTATTTGTGGGGATCGAACACGTAGTACTCGGCTAGTTCACCATACAAAGCTTCCATCTTGCGGAACATCGAGTGTAGCAGATCGCATTGCTCCCTCGCATCTTTTGCGAAAGCCTGGTCGTTATTTGTTAACGAAATATTTTATGTTAACAAAACATTTATTTACGAGTATATATACTAGTACTTGGGCGACCGAGATTTTTTTTTAAAACAAAGAAATGTGAAGCCACCAAAGTCAGCTTTTTTACAAAATTTTGTTACGATTTTTTTAACTTCCCATTGACCTATGAACTTGAAACTTGATGATAATGTTTATTATTACGTATAATTTACTAATAAATATTTATAAAAAACTAAGATGGCAAATTTAGAAAAGGCTGTTATGCAAAAAATTAAAAAAAAAACATTATGGCAAGGAACCCTTCGTGTGCGAGTCCGACTCGCACTTGACCAATTTTTTAAAGGATACACTCATACTTTCATTGAACAAATCATCGGGACTCTGCGGCACTCTTGCGTTATTTAGATCCGTTTCTAACGCTCGAATGTCGTTCTCCATTTTCTTTAGAGATTTTTGTAAGTTTTCCAAAGACACTCTCGCCGCTCTGAAATCGAAATGTTTCGTTTGTATTCAATCTATATACATAAAAAAGTGTCTGTTTGTAATGTCAAAATATCATCTTTTTACTAAATGCATACGAAAGTATACACGATACATATAAAAAAAAAATTCTCTGTTTCTCCGTTTGTTCCGGTTAATATCCAAAACATCTACACCGATTTTATAAGACTCTAAATAGCAGATAGCTAATGTTATAAGGAGTAACTTGGGCTACTTTTATTTTAGAAAAAGAATCCGCAATCAGGACGAAGGTAATTCTATCTATTCTATTTTAAAGAGGAAAATTAGTTTTTTTGTTTGTTTGAATCGAATAGGCTCCGAAACTACTGAACCGATTTAGATAAAATTTGGTTAAAAGATAGTTTGAGACCCTAGGAAGGACATAGGATAGTTTTATCCCGGAAATCATCCGTTAAGGAGGTAAAAATGGGGATAAAAGTTTGTATGAGGAATCAATATAGGTGAGTATCGCTAGTATTTTAATGAAATAGAAAAGTCCGACATTTTTAGAATCAGAGTCATCTGTCGTCTATAGAAAAGCTCAAATTAGAATATCTTTTGTATGAGATGGGAACTTAATTAATCAAGAGAATATATACCTGTCTATATGTGGCATTTCTTCAGCGAAATTCAATACATCGGGGAATTTACTCTCTATAGTATCTACTAAGTAGTGTAGTAATGTTTGTTTGTTTTCCAGATCTTTCGTTGCTGTTAACTGAAATAGAAAAACGAATTAATTTCGAAGATTCAAAAACTAATAAAAAAATATTTAAAAAAATATTATTCTACGTTTAGGAGCGGATTTTTTTCTCAAAATTTATACATGATGTTCTCAAAAAATAAAAATCGGTACAAATACCTAGATATAAGATAACACACAAAATATCATACAAAACAAAAATCCAACAACACCAACCTTAGTTAAGAAGCTAATTTCAAAGCCGTATGCACCAGCGTTATTAGAACCCGTGTTCATATAATTTCCCAATAGAAGCAAGAGCTCAAGTATTTTGGCGAACTTCTTACTCGACTTTACTTCTTCACATGCCGCCGTACCAGACACTATGTCCTGAAAAAATATATTCCTTACTTCAGAAATGATTGATTCCTCATACCAAATTCCATCCCTTTGAGGGATATTTTTCGGATAAAAACTATCCTATATCCTTTCCAGCTTCTCAAATTATCTACATAACAAATTTCATCGAAATCGGTTCACCGGTTTAGACGTGAAAACGTAACAACAAACTGACAGAGTTACTTTCGCATTTATAATAATACTTATTATGAACATTATGTATAGATATTAGTATTGATATGTATGTATGTAATTATATATATAGCAACACTTACAGGTTTCAACTCTGATATAATCTCACTATAATGCTCCCTAAACGCCAAACTTCTCAACCTAGGTACCAATCTCTTGATGTCGGCGACCGTCGCCGCAAACTGTTCCGCCTCAGTTAAATCTTCACTTTTACACTTCAATTCTGACAATTTCTTCATTTGATCCGCCGGTGGCAAGTACTGGAAAGAAAATTAAAAAATATTTACTAGTGAGAAGAGAAATGACGAAGAAAAAAAACTAGAAGCGACGATTAAACCAACTCAATACTTTCTTAGATTTACGCGAATATTTGACATTTTAAATAAAACTCTCAGTTCAGTTCAGATGATTTCGCGAATTTAAAATTTGATATTTTTAATTTTTAAATATTCTTTGTAGTTATACATGTATAGTTTTTTTTTAACCAACTTAATTCATTAATCGCCATGTCTCTCTCAATTTTTACGTTAAAAATGTAAATATAGACGATTCAAAAGTGCCTGTAAATTTCTATTTTAAATAAAATTATATTTTGATTTTTTTTTACCCCGATCCGGGGCTCGAACCCGAGTCCTCCGAATGTGCAACCGTAGTACCGTACATGCCATCCACTGCATCACCAAGTTAACTATATGTACTAGAGTTCGCAGAGTGATTGAACTTCGACAATGATTATTATTGATTTTTCGTAAAAAGGTAGTAAAATAAAAAACAAATAAGTAAATAAAATACAAAGCTTTTGCTTCACGTAATAAAAAATAATTCTTAATTTGACCACAGACTTTAACAATAAACAGAAGAGTATATATGCGTGTGTATGTCAAAAACATGGTAGTGTGTGTAATGTTTTTTTTATTAATTTAATGTATTTTTATGCAAAATTTAAAAAAAAATAGCATTCTGCAGTCCTCTATATAAACTATAAAAGTGTGGGAAATTTCATACTCCTTCGTCCGCGCAATTTTCACAAAAAGGGGCACAAAGTTTTTGCTTCACGTATTAATATATAGATATAGACAAAATCGTACCTGTATAAGCAAGTCGAGTACATTAGCAGTGAGTACAGTGGTGTCGCAGCGGAGTATGCACGTGCGTATGTGCTCGTACGACATGTGCTTGAGCGAGCCCCCGAGGAGGATGGAGAGGTTCTGGGCAGCCTTGCTGTCCAGCACCTTCAGGTCTTTCGCCTTCTTCAACGTGTGGACCCTGGGAAATGTATTATAATATATATTTAACGTTTAGTGTAGATTTGTCAGAGATGAGATATTTCCCACAAAACTGTCCAGTAGTTTTCTCGTGATGCGTTCACAGACACACAGACATGGAATTTTAAAAACTATAGATTCGGCCTCTGTATCGATAATAATGACTATTTCAATAAGATTTTCAAAAAAATATTTAATGTACAGATTCGACTCAAAATTTTATTATATGTATAAAATTTTATTATATGTATAGATGAGGTCCAACTAATAGTGTTTTTACAATGTTCTTATTAAACTTACGTTTGTATGTTTGTTCGGGTCAAATCCCGCAACTGAAATTTAAAGCAGTTAGCCTCAACTGATTGAGCTGAAATTTTGCTTACACGTTTAGTTTGGATGATATATAATGCATGCTTAGTTAAGTGACGTCATTCTAAATCCAATATGGCGGACTCCTTAAGATGGCGGACTAATTTTTTTATGCAATTACCATGATATGGATATCAAATGAAATGGTTTGCTGAGATTAATCCCCTTGTATTGAGAGACCCACCCCCAGCAGTGGGACGTTAAACCCTTAAATACATACATACATTTAACATTAAAAACCAACTTACTTGTCCAAGGTATCTTCATTTTTTTTCTTAGCCATCGGCTTGCTAGAGAACCTCAACGCCAAACCGCTGAGAATGTCTGGCGATGCGAGCTTATCTTCTTGCACCTATAATTGACAGATAGAAATATGAATTATTATATAATACTTTTTTAGATTTACGCGAATATTTGACATTTTAAATAAAACTATATATATCTTTTCGGATTATTTCGCGAATATATATTGTAAGGTACTTCGGTACCATTTTTGAGACTTTTGCCTTCACTTATCCCGTGATCATGATTGCTGTAAAGCATTCGAAACATAAGTCGTATATTTTAAATAATAATCTTTTCGGATTATTTCGCGGATTTATTTGGTTTTTGCTTGCCGACATTTCGAATGCTTTACAGCAATCATGGTCACGATAGATATCGAATTTTTTGTCAAGATATTCTCAGTAGCAGCCCATTTATTTATTATTTATTTATTTAACTAAAATATCTCCTGCAGTTGGCTAATCTCAGTGAGATTGGGCCATGGACATAGAGAATAACTAATAACTGAGCAATACTCTCATTAAATTGAACACTCTCTAGAATGAGACAAAGCTAACGCGATGCCAATACCTGTTTTTTATCCCAATTTGAATTTATAAATGGAATGTAAAAAAATTATAACACTAAAACTAAAAAAAATATAACAAATTATTATAAATATCTATCTCTATCTGCACATTCGTTTTGTCTCTGTCGCTTTACCGCCATTTTCAACGGACGGCTGGCAAAGAAACACTCATTCCACTCTCTATGTCTATGGATTGGCAAAAATACAGATAATGTACATATATTATTATATATTATTATTACCTTAACCCAAAAGGCTTTTTCTGACATTTTCTGTGGCACAATCGTCTTCCAGTTAGCCCTCTTGAGAGGACCTTCCACTTCCCATTTCTTTTTCGGTTTCAAACCATAAGGTAATATGTCTGGTTGGGGCTAAAATAAAACAAATGTTATATCTTATATAATTCATAGTTATATACTACCGACAGTCTACAAATAAAATGATTATAACATACGGACGGACAGTCAGACCAAAATTATAAGTAATCCGTTTTTATCATTTGGCTACTTCGATAATGAATCTTTAAAATTATAAAAACTTATGTGTGTGTGTGTGTGTTGTGTGTGTATGTATGTTACCCTTTATACTGAAACGGCTGTACCGATTTGGATGAAATTTCGTATACAAATAGGTTATTAGCTAGAGTTAGGCATAGACTATTATTAGGGCACGAGACAAGTCAGGGTAAATCGCTTGTACTTTAGATAAAATAAAAATCTGTTGCTTACCATCCTTGGTGCCATGAATCCTGGTGGCGGTGGAGGTCTTGGTCCCATTCCCATCATGGGAGGTGGTGGGGGTGGACCTCCCATTCCCGGCATGGGAGGTGGTGGGGGTGCACCTCCTGCTCCTGGGAATGGGGGAGGAGGGGGTGGGGGTGGTCCACCACCTGTTGAGAAGATTATAATTTATTTTTTATATTTTTGTTTGTATTGTATACAATTTAATTTCAAAATATTTTATTCAGTATAAAATTATCAACCATTTACTGTACATCTAAGTCTATCATCGGTTTTAGAGACAAGTACTGAGAAAAATTAGCGAATAAAACCCAGTGGGGCTAAAATTATAAGTTTATAAAAAGTTTACATAAATTCAAAAAACAAAAAATATTTATTTTAGGATTGACGGGTATTAATTTAACTTGCTTCGGTGGTAGAGAGTTCGAGTCCGGGATCGGGACAAGTTTAGGATTTTAGTTTTTTCTCAAGAATATTAGTGTCAGGACAGAGTTGGGAATTTAGCGGTGTTTCACTTTCTCATAGAGCACTTTTATTCTATTTTTTTAGTCACTATATGAATTTTAGTGCACTGTATGGATTTTTATACTGTGATATTAGTATTATTTACCAACCTGCCGTGGGCATAGGCGGCGGAGGCGGTGGCGGCGGCCCTCCTAGAAACACACACCGACAGACACGCATATTACAACATGCAGATTTAAATATATACTTTATATATTGTAATACTTATATATAAATAATAAATATATTTTTAAGTTTATCTATATGTTATGTAAGATCATTCATCGTGAAGAAAAATGAAATGTGCAAAATAGTGTAGTAATAATATATAGATAAAAAAAAATCGAAAAAATTAATAAAATTAAGTTATTTAAATTCAGATATTTAAAAAAAATATTTTTCTAACATTTTATATAAATTATTTCACTCCTGCCCCAAAACTAAACACCATTCAAAGATACACTTAGTCATGCATGATTTTTAATATATTATTATAAAACATGCGTTTATATTTATTTATAGTGATAGTAACATTAAGTATAATTATTTTATTATTATATTATAATAATATAAAAATATATATAACCTCCTGGCATTGGTGGGGGTGGCGGTGGGGGAGGTCCTCCAGGGCTGCCAATCACCTGAAAAAAAATTAATTACGAATATATTTATTAAATATATACATACATAGTAATATCTCCGAATGAAATAAAAGACTATTGCTCATATCATAAATCTTATTTATTCGAACAATTCTAGTCTTACATCCCTAGAGCCTATATTACCCTAAAATTGTAATTAAATGGAAACTTTAACATACGATTATAGCCCTTGTCATCTTAGCAATAGCAGGTATATTCCCCTGCGTATCCCCATCAGGTTCATTATCCACTAACTTTACTATAATACACAAACAAATCTAATTATTTCAAACGATTCTAGCTTTAATTCCTAAAATTTTGTAGTGCCTATATTACTCTGAAATAGTATTTAAATGGTAAACCTTTTTGAAGTTATACTTCTTTTGGCACGTTTGGAAGAAATTATAAGAGTCAAATTTTTACGATACGCGCACACACCGACAGCCAAAATGCGACACGATGAAGTTAGCTGCATTCCATTTACAAACAGAGTGTTGTGACACACGGGATGAAATCTTTAGCTATTTTTGTTCTGTTACGCCAAACAAGTATAACTTCTTACGTACGTACATAAGTACATATACGCGATTATAGCCTTTCGTACCTTAGCAATAGCCGCTATATTCCCCTGCGTGACCCCGCCGGGGCCGGACGGCGCGCTTGCCTGTTTCAATCTATCTTCTAGGTGCGCAGCGCGAGCCTCTGCCTCTTGCCGCGCCGCAATGGCTGCTTCTAACTTAGTCTTTAATTCATCCACTTTCCTTTCTTCTTCTGCTCTTGATTTTTCTAGAAGGAATAACATTATCATTTTCTTTATCCGCTCTATATTTATGTATGTACTAGCGACTCACCCACGCTTCACTCGGGTTCGTCCAACGTACGATCGTAAAACGTACCTAGCGTTTTAATTTTTTATAGCGCAACCCTAATTCTTTTTCTAAAATAAAAGTAGCCTATATTATTACCTATGACATCAGCTATCTTCCAGTGAAAGTCCCGTCAAAATCAGTCCAGCCGTTTCAGATCAAGGAACAAACAGACAGACAAAAAATTTAAAAATTGTGTTTTTCTTATAAGTACTATATATGATTTACATTACAAACATACACTTCAGTTTTATTTATCTGTATAGATAACTCACCTATCAACCCATCAATCAGCGGTTGAACATCAATATTGAAGCGCTGTGTGAGTCTAAAATCGGGATCGTAGCCATTTTTGTGCAAGACTATTTGTGTTATACACTCTTCTATAAGTTTGTAGTAAGCTGGCCTAGAACAAAATTAATATTTATTAAAATTTCATTAAATGATTTTAAATAGAACTATCTTTTCGGATATTTTTCTCTGGTACTGGTTCAAGACGTTTCGAATGCTTTACGGGGGGTCTTTCCCGTAACCATGATTGCTGTAAAGCATCCAATATCGAAACCTTTCATCAGTTCAAGATAATGAAAATAACAATCAAATACAATATCACTTAAACGTGGAAAATAAAAAAAAACGGTTCAACCACATTGATATATAAAAACATAGATACACATTTACTAACAAATATCTCTTCAAAAAGTGGCGTCGACATGTGACGTTAAGTCACACCAAAGAATAAAATCCAAAAATCTAAAGTTCTAACTGTCTGAACACAAATTCGAACTTACGCACACCACATATTTTTTTAAACGAAACAACGTGTTTTTTTAATTTATTCATCTGAAAAGCAATAAACAAAATAAATTTGATAAAAGCGTAATTAAATTTAGAATAGTGCACTTTTCTGAGGACACTTTTGAGACGCTAATTGTGTATCTTAATTTTCTATATATCAATCAATGTTCCACTATTTTCCATTATAACTTATTCATAAAAAATAATAATTAAAATCGTTTGCCAATTTTCGTATATCTCATATAACATACTAAAAAATATACAACCTTGTAATGCCTGTGACTCGTCTACACAGAGTCAGTAATTCGTTTTATGGACATTGTATACGCTTGTACAACAGGATCCCAGAAAATGTTCAAAAGGCTTCTATCGCCAAATTAAAAAAAATTGTTAAAGAACGTTTGTGTGCTAAAGGCTATTATACAATGATCGCCTCTAGGCTATTTCAACTTGATAGAAATATTGTAAATTATAATTTTACTTTAAAAAAAAGATTATACTATAAGAAAAGATATTGGTCCCGCTGAGTTTATTTCGCCAGTTCTTCTCAGGTCTGAGGCTTCTTCTTTCCGAACTGGTAGTAGACTCATGACGTTCAGTAAACAATTGTAATAATTGAATGCTGAATAAAATAATTTGATTTGATATACCTCCTACTTTTCGAAGTCGATCATAAAATTAAAAAAACTCACCTAATCAATTCATCGTCCCTTATAAATAACAAATGCTGTAATATCGACAGTAAGTATGGCTCCGCCGGGGTCTCTAATACTAGATTCTTCACTAACTCAAAACACTCGTTCACGTCATGGAAATCCACTCTGAAACGAAAAAAAAACAAAAACATTAATATAACGTTACGTTTGGCTCAGTTTGTAGTGACCCTACTTGCTGTAGTTTGTCGCGGGTTCGAGTCCCGCTGGCGGCATTCATTTGTGTGATGAGCACGAATGTTTGTACTCCAATCATGGGTGTTTATATTTATAATATGTATGTATTTAAAATTATATATGTGTAAAAACCTCTGTTAAGTTATTTTTTACATTTTAGTGCCTGGAAGTCAGTTTTTTTTTTAGTTTTTATTTTTATGTTTAGTGTAGACGTAATAAGCAGGTAATTTGTAATATATATTTATGTATTCAATAAAGCAATTTATTAAAAAAAAAGTTTATTTGTTGATTTTTTCACAAACCGCTCAACCGATTTTGATAAAATTTAAATGGGACCACTTGAGAAGTATACCCTTCGAAACAAAAAAATATCCAAATCGGTTCAGGCGTCTTCAAGTAATCGGTGAACATACATAAAAAAAAAACAAAGATTCCGACGAATTGAGAACCGCCTCCTTTTTGGAAGTCGGTTAAAAAAAATAGTATTTTCTCAATAAATAAAACTAATTAATTTTTTTATATTTAATTAAACTGCTTATTTCTTTTTTTTCAATGAGAGTATTTCAATTATTTAATTAATTTACCTGACATCATCAAACTTCGCCAAGAACTCTTCCTGGTCGGCGGCCGCGTGTGTGTCGAACACATTCATTTGTATTAAACGACCACCTTCTTCTGCGCCTGCGCGTAATTCGTCTAGAAAAAATAATAATAAAAAAAAACTGTGTCAATGTAAATATAATAAAATTGTAATTTAACGCTTTAGTGTTACGTATGTGGTTTTTTCTCTTGTTTTTAGGTTTACCTAAAAAAAAAGAGAGAAAAAAATAGTGCGTGTATGAATTTTGTAGACGCTCAAAAAGTGAAACTCCTGTACGTTATTGGTATTTTTTGTGAAATTCAATTTATGTTTTAAATAAAATTGGGATAGGAAAGATACTAATAAAAAAAACCGATTCCCAGGCACTAAAAATTAAAAAAAACAACTAGACAGGGGTTTTCATTTAGAATAGATACCTAATCGAGTACGTATGTATATATTTACCTATCAGATCATAAAGCCCAGTCCTCATGAATTCGCTTCGCAGATGCATTCTAAATTCCAATTCTTCGGGTTCCGTTATGATTGCATTCATCAGTTGCATGCATCCGTTCTGTAATACATTTTTTTATTAATTATTATATAAATGCGAAAGTTTGTATGTATGTTTGTGTGTATGGTTGTTACTCCTTAACGCTGTAACAGCTGGTCCGATTTGGATAAAATTTAGCACACCGATAGATTTTGATCTGGAGTAACACATAAGTTAATGTTAGGTTCTCAGAAACGCACAAGAAGTAAGTGAATGTACAACGTGTATATACTTATAAAATGTTAATATATAAAAATTGCGTGTTTTTTGTTTGTTTGTTTATTTATTTGTTTGATAGCTAGCTATTTTAATAGCAAGTTTTATTTTACAGTTCTGAAACATCTAGATCAAAGACATTTATTTTAATCTTAGATACAATAACCGATAACACATTATACATTCTATTTTTTTTTATTTAAATAATAATAATACGAAAAAATCAGCGAGAGATACACTCACTCGACGGACGGACGACGAACTGTAAAACATTATTTTGATATATGGTAGTCCATATTTAAATGTTTTTTTTTTATATACAAAAAAAAACAAGTCATATTTAAAGACTAAATTAAAAAAAATCAATCAGCATTCTGAACCATCGTTGACGTTCTATAGGCGAGGCTTTTGTCCAGCAGTAGACAGCGATTAGCTGACAAAAATTAAATAAATCGATACTTACCTTTAAACTTTCTGGGGCTTTGGCCTCCAAACCCTCTACGATTGGCAGCAATCTTGGTTTTCGATTAGATTCACCTGCCATTGTGATAGCTTCTAGAACCTTCTCGTGGCCGTTTGGAATGAGACATATTGCAGCGAGAACCTGGAAATATTAAGTCATGTATGTCATATTTAATATTTATTTCAGCTAATAAAGCTAAATTTCCCCAATAAATCTTTGCTTGACAAGCCGTAGTAAAAAAAAATAAAACTATACAAAAAAAGCACGTGACAGCACGTAAAGCCTTTAGCCCTGCGCCGTCACTCTCTCCGCGAGTGTCGAGTGTCGTCCCATCGCGGTATGAGAGTGAAAGGGACGGAGAGAGTATATCGTGTGTCTCTCTCCCTCAAACGCACTCGCACCATAACATCTCCTGTTCCATCAGTGTCCATCAGTGAGATTGGCCGCCGGCCGACATCGGTCGGGAGAACATTATTATCAATACTAATATTATAATTGTGGAAGTTTGTTTGTCCTTCTTTCACGTCAAAACAGAAGGACGGACTGGCGTGATTTTTTATATATAGATAGTTGGAGAGGCTAGAGAATGTAATAGGCTACTTCTTACCGCGGGAGATTATCTCATTCCCACAGGAAAATACGTATAATACAACCCAAAAAAATATTTATGATCAGAATTACTTGAAACTTGGTATTAGTGATCTTCAATACAATTACATAAATACATGTTTTAGCATTTTTCGAAATTCATCACATGAGAGGGTAAAATAGAGGATGATAGTTTGTATGAAACCTACCTTTTTAGGTTTTTTTTTGTAGTTTTAGCGCGAGCGAAGCCGCGGGTTCTAATCTTATTATTAATGTTAATAATTCTTACCTTAGCAGCTTCTAAAGCACAATGAGGTTTCCTAGAATCCAGACTCCTCGCCAGCACAGGCAATGCCTCCCTACACTCGAACACGGCTCGGATACCGACGGTGTTATTCAAGATGGCGGACAAACATCGTATACATTCGTATTGCACTCTATCGTACCGGGAGTCGCTGGAATAAGGATATTAGGGTTGTATAGAGTAGGTAAATATTTTATTTTATTAAGATATTATCAATTATCAATAAAATTATTTTTTGAGATTTTTTCACTCGTCAAAAAAAGTTCACGAAAAAATACGAAAAATGAAAATGACAAGTTTGCTTAAATCTAGAAGATTATTTATTACTATGCATACATTAATTAACGTATTTGGGGAATTCCCCGATTTTATAAAACATTCAAAATTAAATTAACATATTCTAAAGGAAAGAGATCTTTGTAGCATTGCCAACTTTCTGCTATTTTTATAAGCTGTGGTGGTAAGCGAAATTGGTATATATGAATAAAATACACTTATATCTTACATGAGTTTTTTTATTTTTCATACTTTACTTTTATTCACTTCAAAATATCTCAGAAATGTTATAGGCACCATATTGCTTATATTTACTGTTTACTTAAATGTCCTCTATCAATATATACCAGAATTATCTTGCACCGCTACTTTAAAAAAAAAATGGCGACGGATCAATAACAGCCGCCATAGAAAAATGTTCAAACCATTTTCACTTATGTCGTTTAACTACTTTCCGAATCTTACCGGTAAAATCCACTTCCACTGGTAGCATGTAAGGACAATACAAATTATATAATATAAAAAATATATTAAATATCATTAATTAGGTTAAAAATAAGGTTGACACTTCATACATGTAACTGAGGAATGAAATGAATACGACATCTAATATCGGTCCATCAATAATCCATACTAATATGTAAATGCGAAAGTAACTCTGTCTGTCCGTTACCTTTTCACGCTTAATCCGCTAAACCGATTTACATGAAATTTAGTATGGAGATAGCTTGAAACCCTGGGAAGGACATAGGATAGATTTTACTCCGGAAATCATCCCTTAAGGGGTCTCAAGTTAGTGCATAATAAGTATATATATATATATATATAAATACACATGCATATATATACATAGATAGACTATATAGTCTATGTATTCCATACTAACCGTTATAAGGTAACTAGAACTAGTTATACATAAATATTTCCGCGTAGTGGAGTGTGTAACGTCATTACACCAAAAATAATAATTAAAAAGGCACGTCTGATGCTTTATACATCCTAAGACATTTGCCAAAACATTACCAGAGAGGCATCGAAATTACTAGAAGTTTAGAAATTCAGACAAGAACAGTTAATTATAAATTGCCGTGTGTAAGAGTGCGAGAGGGACAAAACATTCGAAAATTCAAAACCTTTCTATTATTTATTATTTTTCTTGTAATGACGTTACACACTCTCCACTACGCGACAATATTCAACGCGAGCAGAATCACGAGTAAAGCTAGTTACATAACAGAATATTAACTTACTTTGTATAACACACATTGAGGGTAGATAGCAAACTCTCAATGCCTTTAGATCCAAACTCCTCAATCCAAGAAAGGGGATTATTTGTTAAGGAAATACGAAGATTCTCCAAACAGCCGTGCAATTTGCCAACCGAAAGTTCTGGTTGATTTAAATATGACACGTAATCTGATGGCTTTTCGAATTTTGAGCGACCTTCCTGAAAATAAGGAAAAACTCGTATAAAACGGTTATTTGATAACGATTCAAAGTTGGGCCCAAAAATAAAAATAGTCAAGTTCGCTTAAATTAATAGTTTAGTTTTGCATAATATTTAACACCATTCAGACAAAGAAAGACAATAGCATTCCCAAGGAGGGTTGACGTCAGGCAGGCGGCCGGTCGTAAAACTTTTGCCAAATCTTATCAGCAGTACACTGAAGATGTACTGCGCCGACCCCAAGTGATTTGGGAAATGGGCAGGGAGAAGAAGAAGAAGACTTAAATTAATAGTTTACATATTGTTTTTTTGACGTGAAACGTCTTTAAAATAAACATACCGATACCAGGTCAGAAAAATGGACCGTAACGAAATAGGTTGCATTAGGTTGCCATAGTAACCGTTATTGTCCATTTTTTTTTTGTTTGTCCTGTGGCATATAGACGTACGTGCATTATCAAAATTGTTAGGAAATAATAACCAGAAAGTGTATTAAAAAACAATATGTACGCCCTCAGCTCGTGTATAAGGTGGACGTTTCACATTAAACCAACGACGGTGTGGCCCGACACATCCCCACCCAATTTTTTATATATTAATTACACAGAATAGTCAGCGGAATCTAATTTACCTCTCAAGGAAACCTTATTTTTTATTTTAAATAATTAAATAAAAAATTAATAATCACTGTTTGACATTATTTTTATTCAAATACGCCTTGGGAGACATATAAAACATGAATCCAAATAAAAATTATACCTTCTCGATTACTCTAAAACGAGCATTGTTCTTAAAAAGTATTATTTAGCAAAAAAAAAATTAAAAAAAAAAACATACCTGAGCATTGACAAACTTATAAGCTACTAACATCTTCTTCTTTTGGTCCCGCGAATATTTTCTTAGAGGTTCTTTTTTCTTTTCTCCTATATTCATATCAGTCTGGAATTTGGAGAAGAAAATTTATATATGGTGTTAAATTATACATTTTAATATAACCGGACTATTATAAATGCGAAAGCTTGTATGTTTATTTATCTATTTTTATTTAGAGACTTCTTATCAACAACAGAATTAAATATCAGCCCTATCGTTCCCTTTATATATTCATACCGCTAATAATACTAATTAAAACTTATAAATTATAACTTACTAGGTAAGGTAGGTAAGTACGTTTTAAATTAAAATGGACATAGTATGTTATCCTTAAGAGATAGACATATGCCATCGCGGAATTTTCTGTAGACCTATATAAAATACACAATTCTACCTTACATTATTTTGTTATATCTCAAAGGGTTTAGGCAGCGTTTTCGTTGAAAGCTCCCAGATGGCTCACTTTTTCCGACACCTCCAACTAATATAGTTATATTTTAACTTAACAAATTATACACTAAAACCTTCCTCTTGAATCACTCTATCTATTAAAAAAACCGCATCAAAATCCGTTGCGTAGTTTTAAAGATCTAAGCATACATAGGGACAGACAAACAGCGGGAAGCGACTTTGTTTTATACTATGTAGTGATTTTAATTTAAATTGATATACAGTTTTAGCTATCTCTGAGCTTGTATATTGTATACAGATAGACTATGACCTGGAGTAACACACTAACCCAAGCGACTCTCAGAAGCTTTCAGAAGGGATGCTTTTTTCTATATTAATTCAAACATCATTAAACTGTATAAGTTGTAGAAAATTTTGTACAGTTCTAAAATTAGCCCAAAAAAGAAACGTAACGGCGCAAAGTCCCCAGTTAATTTCAAATTCTTCGGTATATCCAAAAATCTGTTAAGTCGGGATGTTTTATCCCCCAAAACAATCTCCACTCACCAACATCTCTTCAAACCGCCTCTCCAGTTGATCATCATCGAGGGCATCTATCTTGCTCGTGTACTCCGCCGCCGGCTCGTCCTCGTCTGTGCGGGGCTCGGCCCGCGGCATGGTGTCGTAGCCGCGCTCGAGCCCCGCACCTGCCTTCTTGGGCCGTCCGAACCATGTGTCTAGCTGGGGAAGGCATTTTTGATTAAAAATTAAAATCTTACTAACACTGAAAGTTTGTATGTATGTTTGTTCCTCTTTCACTCTGAAATGGTTTGAGAGAGTGACGTTTCTTGTATGGAAATACTTTACCAGACCGATATCGGTCCGAGAACGGACTTTGATCGGCAATATAGTGTGGAGCGGCCCTAAGAGATCTGTACCAGAAAACCTCGAGCGTGAGAAAAATAATACTAATAATAAAGAGGTGCGGTGTAGGTACAAACTACAAACATACAGACATACATAAATATATAGTACATTACATACATGTATGTATGTATGTACTATGTATGTATGTATTCAGCCCTTTTTAATGCCCACTGCTGGGCACGAGCCTCCCTTCAATACGAGGGGGATCAGCCCACAGTCCACCACGCTGGCCAAGTGCGGGTTCGCGGACTTCACATGTCTTTCGAAAACTTGCTAGGTTCTCTCAGACATGCAGATTTCCTCACGATGTTTTCCTTCACCGTTAAGGCAAGTGATAATCATGTTAGAAATGATTTGTACATGAAAATATCAGAGGTACGAGACCCGGGATTTGAACCCGCTTCATTCGGTTTCCCAAGCGAGCGCGTTACCACTGAGCTACCACTGCCGTACTGAGCTACCACATACATTTACATACATACACATAATTCAAGAAATATATTAGTAGAATAACTTTATTGGATAAATAATTACTTTTAAGTTTTATTAATTATCATCTTCAAGTATTTTTTCTAACTTTTAAAATTAAGGTTCATCTACAGACAGAGATTTTTCGCAACACGGGTCCATCTTGTGGTAGCAAGGTAGAGGAAAGTCAGTAGACTAACTAAACTAAATAAAATATATTTTCTAGATTGTTCCACAAAGAATTCCTTTAATAAAAGTGACATCGAAAGCATGACGTAAGTATTATTATTGTTCCGTATACAGAATAAATTGACGCAGTAGATTAAGTTGATGGCAATCAATTAATATTAACTAGCCTAAGCTCATTTCTTTGTCCGCATTCCATGTCTATAATTACTTTGTAAATATACTCTCTTTTTTATGGCATTCAGTGATAAACGAGCAGACAGACCACCTGATGGAAAGCGGTACCTGTCGCCCATTACACCTACGGTTCATGCACTTAGGTTTTATGTAACAAAAATGCACAATCGTAGGTGCGTTGTCACTGTGAGGACTAAGATGATATGCCTCTTGCCTGTAATTGCGCTGGCTACCTTATCCTTCAAACCGGAATACAACAATGCAATCATTGTTGCTTGGCGGGAGAATTAGATAGGGGGGTGGTACCCATCCAGTCAGACTCCTCAGGTTTGACAGAGTCCGGTGAATTCAAATTAAAAATAGAATGAAACTCACATTAAAAATAAATTTGAAAAAAATATTCCATCTTTGACAGACGTTTGTTTTTCATAATACATACCTACTCTCTTAGATTTACGTGAATGTTTAACATTTTATGTTTATGTTTTATTTTCATTCTATTCGAAAACATAGTTTTATTTATAAGATTTTATGTTCTTGTTTATATAGGTGGTTTACTTGAGATGTTATCCGTTAATAAATATAAATATGTTGGGACATTAACACACAGCACCATCTAGTTCCATGGTAAGCTACGAGGTGTGTTATGGATACCAGGTAGTTGATACACTACACATATATAACTTTAAATACATACATATTATAAATATAAACACACATGACTGGAGTACAAACATTCGTGCTCATCACACAAATGAATGCCCCCAGCGGGACTCGAACCCGCGACCGCTGGCACAGCAAGTAGGATCACTACAAACTGAGCAAAACGTGTCGTCTTAATACATCCATTGATCCAAGATATCTATCTATATACAAAAAAAAACACGTTTTGTAAATTTTTAAATAGGTTTCTAGGGAGAAATTGAGAAATTCAGGTTAAAATTAAAAAAAAATGCAATATAAATTTACTATGAACTTAATCAAAAACAAAATTAAAATTTCGAATAGACAAAACACACGAAACGAATAAAATAAACAGAATACCTATTATTAAAAAAATAACATACACTCGAATTAAAAAAAATCCTTTGTAAAAAAAATTGTGAAACTCACTGAAAACGGCGATCTTTCTCTCACAAAGTCTCCCATGACTTTTATAGTATCCATTTCGTCACATTCATTCACTTGTCAAAAAACACCATACATTTATACATCAATTACAACACTATTAATTTAACTACCTCGGTGGTGTAGTGGCTAGCATGTACGGCTGCACACTCGGAGGTCCTGGGTTCGAGTCCCGGGTCGGGCCAAGTTTAGTTATTGAGACTTTCTGTATAGTAAGTCTCAGTAACAGCCCGGAGTTGGGAAGTTGGCGGTGTTTCACCCCCGTGTCTCGGAGAGCACGTAAAGCCGTCGGTCCTGCGCCTTAACTCTCACTGGTCGTGTTGAGTAGTCGTCCCACCGGAGTATGAAAGTGACAGGAATAGAGAGTGCCCTTGTGTCTGCGCGTACACTTGTGCACTATAATATCTCCTGCGCAGTTGGCTAGTCTTGAAATGTAATGTAATAAGATTGGCCGCCGTGGCCGGAATCGGCTAGGAGAACATCACAACACTACGAGAAACAGAAGCTGTTCGACTGAAACGACTCGATACAATAACATGCGACTTGCATGAATCTAAGGACATCTAATTTTGTTTGTAACATCATTATTATTTTGAGTACGAATTATTTTTAAATATTATCAAAGTTCCTTGGCAGAGTGTGTGGGAGACTAAATAACGCTTAGTGAATCAGTATTTTCTCACGAGTTATGATTCCAATCCAGTGGATAGAAAGATATATGAAAAACTAGCTAGGAAAATAAAAACCAATGAAAAAAGGCTCTACTTTCTGCCGAAATGTTGTGTGTGGACAAACCTTTGCCCTGCGGCGCTAGAATTCTGCTGTGAGATTTAGTGAGTTAGTCTCACAGTCCCCTGGCCCCTGACAACTGACAGAGACCCCACGGTAGATTTCATCGACAATAAAAAAAAATAAAAAATATCTAGATTCTACTACCCAAAAGAAGAATCATTACGAACTTCACAATTTTTGAAAAATTAACATGATGATGGTGTTATATTTACAAGCAAAATTGCATTCCAAAGTGTATTTTTTTTACAAATAAATACCTTTAAAGTAGTTTTAGAGTTCATGTACCTTTTAATTTAAAAAGCTATTATTACAGATGATCCAAATAGCATTTGTACATCTTAGCGTTGGTTAACAAACCTTAAACTACAAAATCGCCAAAATAATAAGTATTCATGATGGTGATCTACTCATATAAGTTTATCATTATTAAGCTGATAAAACATTATTGCTGGATTGTTTCAGTTTATTTGAAAATATCTAATCTAATACCTTTAAACGAGTAATTCTTGTATATTTATTTATTTATACTATTTACCGGCGATCTCAGAAACGGCTTAAGTTTTTCGCTGAAATGTTGGTATATGAGGGTTTTCGGGGGCGAAAAATCGATCTAGATTAGTCTTATGTCTGGGAAAACGCGTGTTTTCGAATTTTTATAAGGTTTTCTTTCGCATTATTCCACGCAAAATATGGTAACCAATTTCGCACGCTCGGGCATCATTATCATCGTGGTCAAGCGGCCAAGGCGCAAGCTTACCACAATACATTAATGAAAACTGAAAACCGCATCCAAATCGGTTAAGCCGTTTCTGAGATTAGCGCGTACCTACAAACGTAGACAAAAATTCTAAAAATCATTGTTTTGGATTCTATTGCGTAAATAAAGACCCCCAATAATAGTCTTTCCCAAATATCTTCCATTTGCAGACAGCGATCAGTTACACTTTTATTATATGTATAGATTAGAAAAGACATTTAAAGATTGTATCCCAAAAACCAGACATCAAAATCGTTTTAAAGTCGGCAAAGATCACAATCGATACAGCCAAATCGAGAACTTTTTCGAAATAAAACAAATAATAATAATTAATCATACAAAATATATTATTCTTGTACTAAAACATTATAAGGAAAACTAATCTCTTTAGACGATTGAAAACTCTATTGTATTTTAATTGGCTTATCGAATTAGGTGCAATTCGTATTTAAAGTTTGTTTATAGATTTTTAGAGGGCAATGGCATAGACATAAATAGATCTTAATTACCTACGACGCGACGTAAAAAAAAAGTCACACTTTATGATGCAGCGTGATTGCGACGTGACATTGGCGAAATATATTGTGCCCAACTGGCACTCCCAGAATTGATATGTAAAATGTAAAGATGGCAACTAATTAAGTTGTCATTATCTATACAGATAAATAAAATTGAAGTGTCTGTTTGTAATGTCAAAATAACAGCTTTTTACTAAATGCATATGAATGTATACACGGTACATATACCAAAACAACATTTTTTACAATTTTTGTCTGTCTGTTTGTTCCGGCTAATCTCTGAAATGGCTAGACCGATTTTGCCGAGACTTTCACAGGCAGATAGCTGATGTAATAAGGAGTAACTTAGGCTACTTTTATTTTAGAAAAAAAATAAGGTCTCACGAAAAAAAATTAAAAGCAATGAAAAATTTAATAATATTCGATTGAAATAGGAAAGTTGTATACATATCCTAGGGACGAACCCGTGTGAAGCGAGGGTGAGTCGCTAGTTGTAATATTTTTTTATGTGCGAATAATTTCTAACAACGATCGTGAGGAAACCTGCATGTCTGAGAGAACCTAGCAAGTTTTCGAAAGACATGTGAAGTCCACAAACCCGCACTTGGCCAGCGTGGTGGACTATGGCCTGATCCCGCTCGTATTGAAGGGAGGCCCACACCCAGCCGTGGGACGTTAAAAAGGGCTGAATACATAGACATACATAATAATTGGGTATATTATATATATACTTTCCTATAATATATATGTATATGTGGATATACTGTCTGCATATAGATGTCGTCTGTAATAACTAATCACTTCCAGGTAAATTTCTAACAAATTAATTTAATTTCTAAGAAATCTATTGTTAACTGTAACGCCGGCGTGTCCGCGGTCGTTGATTAATTAATAACCTTTGAGACGTCTTATACCTTAGTGTCTTTCTCGTGACCATGTGCGCTGTAAAGCATTCGAAACGTCAAGAACCAAAAATCTAAATAAATCCGGCAAAAAAACTCCGGAGGTTCGAGTCCAGGGTCGGGTCAAGTACAGTTATTAAATTTTTTTGCCAGAAATTCTTAGAAATAGTCCGAAGTTGAGAAAAAAAAATATATACTTATATACATACATATCTATACATGTAATAAAATCTATACATATAATAAAATTGTAACTAAGTCGAATCTGTAGATTAATTTTTTTTTGAAAAATGTAATTGAAATAGACCTTATTATCGATAGAGTCCGAATCTATAGTTTTTAGAATTTTTGTCTGTCTGTCTGTTACCGCATCACGAGAAAACCACAGGAAAGATTTTGATGAAATTTGGTATGATGATAGCTGGTTATCCAGGTCAGGTACTTTTGCCGCGAGAAAATATCTCATTTCTGAGAAAAAATACAAAAACTGCATTGTAAGAGTATACTAATATGTAAAACCTAAGAATTTGGTTTTTGGTCATCTGAACGCGGGCGGAGCCGCGGGCAATGCTAGTATGCTATAAACGTTTAGCATTTATCCGGCAATACGAAATAATACGTCAATATATCACGTGTCGTTCGTGGATACATTCCAAGAGATGACCAAACAAGTGATCTAAGTCTATTCCGCATTGTTTAATTCAGACTACTTGATTACCGCGACTTCTGTCATGGTTAGCGGGGTGAGGATAAAAAATTGCTTATACTATAATATTATGTCCTCATGATGCAATGGATATTACTGTCAAATTTCATTGAAATCTGTTTAGGAGTTTTAACGTTAACAAATATATAGTTAGTTTAACTTTTATAATTATACTAGCATAACCCGCGGCTTCGCTCGCGCTAAACTACAAAAAAACACTAAGAAGGTAGGTTTCATAAGAACTTTCATCCCCTATTTCACCCTCTTATGGGATGAATTTCGAAAAATGCTAAAACACGTATTTATTTAATTGTATTGAAGAGCAAATTCTGATCATTAATATTTTTGAGTTGTATTATAACGTTATTCACGTGAGAATAAGGTAATCTCCAGCGGTAAAAAGTCTCTAGCCCTCCAACTATCTTCACACAAAAAATCACGCCAATCTATCACTCTGTTTCAACGTTAAAGATGGGCAGACAGACAAACAAACAAACAAACATACAAACATACAAACAAACAAACACACTTTCACATTTATAATATAGTATGAATTAATTGAATGATTAACTTTTTTATAAAGCTAATAAATTGATACTTTCATTCTATTATCACACTAACAGGACTAACTAATTTTACTATTGTAAATGCGAAAGTGTGTCTGTTTGTTACTCCTTCTCCTTGAAACGGCTGGAGAGATTTATATTAAATTTAGTACACAGATAGGCTATGAGCTGGAGTAACACATAGCCTACTATTAGTAAATGACTTGGTCGTTTTCCACAATATGAATACCTGCATGTTATATACAGGATTGAGCAAATGTTATGAGGCATAGAAGAAAAGTACCTTAAATATTGAAGATATCTTTCACTCAAAGGAAATATTCTCATTAGTTTCCCATCCTGTATATATGTACAAAAAAATTGAAATCGCTTCATCCGTTCGAGAGCTATGATGCCACAGACAGACAGACAGACAGACACGTCAAACATATAACACCCCTCTTTTTGCGTCGGGGGTTAAAAAAAGGCGTATTTTATTGTATCAAGTCACAAAAGCCACCTTAATACCCACCCTACCGAAGCACTTGTTATAAAATATATGAAATATACCTAAATATATAAAAAAATTGTAAGATGTAAACATCTGTTATCATTTAACTTAACACAAGTGTACGTGCACTTAACTCATTGTCATGACATCATTGATTAAAATAAATTAACATATTCACACATTTTATATGTAGACTAGCAATGCCCGCGGCTCCGCCCGCGTTCATATGACCAAAATCCAAATTCTTAGGTTTTACATATTAGTATACTCTTACATTGCAGTTTTTGTATTTTTTCTTAGAAATAAGA